AATCATTTGTGACACTGAAAACAGCTTATCTTACCCAAACGCGGGAGCAAAGAGTTTTTTTATTATTATTACTGTTATTAATATTATTATTATTATGTTTTTGTTGCCAAAGTATAGTAATATTCCTCCAAGCTTGATCAACATCACTTTTCGCCCCCTTATTAACATTTGGGTATTGTTTCTTTGCAACTCCAAGGTCAATTTTTCTATGCTCCTATCAAAGTTAAAAGGAAAAAAATTTTTTTTCTTCTTTTTAAACAATTAAACGATTTTTAATAAACAGTGAACAGTTTTTTACAGTGAAGAAAACGATTTGGGTGAAAAACACGAAAGAAAACACTTGAAGATTTAAGCATCTTAATGTATGAAAAAGAAAAACAGTCTCAACCATCGTTCAGAACTGAATCACACCGTAAGATTTCGTTTGCCGTACTGCACAGTGTAAATAGTTAATAGGTAAACAACAACGGAAAAAAAGTTTGAACTGGATAAGATATTTCTTCCATTTGATAAATAAGTAAAAAAGAATATATCGGTTTTTTTTTTCCTTTTTTTCGCACAAAATTAAATCTTTCCGTTCTCAACAATGACAAATTACAATATTTTTTTTTTGTATAAGATCTGCTGAAAGCGAATGTAAGCCAATTGCTATGTGAAACTCAATATTTGTAATCACTTGAGCAGTGACTTTTTTTCGTTGATTCGTTTATGTGCTTTTATCCCAACTTTAGCCAACTGATGTTAGAATATCACAATGAAAAATGTATCAAGAATGAAAACAAGAAGTGGTGGAAAAATGAAGGACAAAGTAAAATAACCAAAAATGAGCTGTTGTTCATTTTTGTCACCAGAAATTATAGGTTATTCTATAGTTAAAAGTCTCCATTAAAGTCAGCACTACCATTGAATTATACTGGTATAAGGATAGTAATGATTCTGTTTTGCGTTGCTCATATTTAAGCCCGGAAAGTACTACGAAGGCGAAATAAAGAAAGAAAGAAAGAAAGAAAAGGTTTGATGACGTGGTTTATTTTTATCAAGTCGACCTTTTGTTGTTGTCACTGTTCCTCGTTTTCTTACCTGTTTCTTGCAGCTTTTATAAACAAAAAAGCTGCTGCAAAATGCCAAAAAAAAAAAAAAAAAAAAAAAAAAAAAAAAA